GGGTTTTGTCAAGATTTGGACGTTTCGGGCGCGGCTTTTTTGGGGTTTCGTGGAGTTTTGGAGGTTTTGGGCGACTTTCGTTGGGTTTTGTCAAGTTTTGGAGGTTTTGGGTGACTTTCGTTGGGTTTTGTCAAGATTTGGAGGTTTTGGGCAACTTTTGTTGGGTTTTGTCAAGATTTGGAGGGTTTGGGCGACTTTTGTTGGGTTTTGTCAAGATTTGGAGGGTTTGGGCGACTTTCGTTGGGTTTTGTCAAGATTTGGAGGTTTTGGGCGACTTTCGTTGGGTTTCGTCAAGATTTGGAGGTTTTGGGCAACTTTTGTTGGGTTTTGTCAAGATTTTGGAGGTTTCGGGTGACGTTTTTTGGAGTTTTGTCGAGTTTTGGACGTTCCGGTTGCGGCGTTTCTGGGTTTCTTCCGATTTCTGAGGTTTTGGTCAACGGGTTTTGGAGGTTTCGTTGAAATTTGGAGGTTTCGGTCGACGTTTGTTGAGTTCCTTCAAGTTTTGGACGTTTCGGGAGTCGCTTTTTTGAGTTTCTTCAGATTTTGGAGGTTTCAGGCGATGTTTGTTGGGTTTCGTCGAGTTTTGGAGGTTTCAGTCAAAGCTTTTTGAGTTTCTTCCAATTTTGGAGGTTTCGGGCGACGTTTTTTGGAGTTTCGTTGAGTTTTGGAGGTTTCAGACAAAGCTTTTTGAGTTTCTTCAAGTTTTGGACGTTTTGGGAGCGGCTTTTTAGAGTTTCTTCCAATTTCGGAGGTTTTGGGCGACGTTTTTGGGCTTTCGTCAAGTTTTGGAAGTTTCACTTGACGTTTGTTGGGTTTTCGTTGACTTTTGGACGTTTCGGGCAACGTTTTCCGGGTTCCCTTCAAGTTTTGGATGTTTTGGTCGCGGCTTTTTGGAGTTTCTTCCGATTTTGAATGTTCCGCTCAACGTTTTTTGGGGTTTCCTTCAAATTTTGGCTGTTTCGGTCGAGGTTCTTTGATCTTCTTGCGATTCTGGGAATTTCGGGCGCGGCTTTTTTGAGTCCCTTCAACTTTCGGCTTCGACGCGGCGGTTTCGGAGGTTTAAGTCGACGTTTTTTGGGGTTCTGTTCAAATTTTGGCTTTTCCTGCGCCGATTTTGGATGTTTCGGTCGACGTTTTTTGGGTTTCCTTCAAATTTCGGCCATTTCAGCGATGCTTTTTTTGCCTTTCTTCCAATTTTACCTTTTTTGCGCCAATTTTGGATGTTTCGCTCGACGTTTTTTGAGTTTCTTCAAATTCCTGCCGTTTCGGGCACCGTTTTTTGGGGTTTCTTCGATTTTTTGATGTTTCGGGCGGCGTTTTTTGGGGTTTCTTCTGGTTTTTGGCCGTTTCGGGCGCAGCTTTTTGGAGTTTCTTCAAATCTCGGCTTTTCCGCACCGATTTTGGACGTTTCACTCGTCGGTTTTTTTGGGGTTTCTTCAAATTTTGGCCATTTTGGTCACGGCTTTTTGCCTTTCCTCAACTTTTAGCCGTTTCAACCGCCGTTTTTTGCCTATCTTCAGATTTTGGCCGTTTCGGTCGCCGTTTTTTGGGTTCCCTTCCAATTTTGGCCGTTTGGGTGGCGGGTTTTTTGCTTTTCTTCAAATTTTGGGTGTTGTGGTCACAGCTTTTTGACTTTCCTCAAATTTCAGCTTTTCTGCTGCGATATGGCGCGGTTGGGTGGCGGCGTGACTTTCTTCCCCAAAAAAAAATTTGAAAGGGATGGGAAGAGATCGAGTTGAATGAAATATAAAAGAATAAAGTTTCAATAAATTGATTTGAAATCAATTTTCAATGCAGAGTGGCAACCAAAGCCACCCACAGGATCTCTGGGTCAGTGTGGGCACAGGATCCCTGGTCAGTGTGGGCACAGGATCCCTGGGTCACTCTGGGCACAGGATCCCTGGTCACTCTGGGCACAGGA